ATGGAAAGAGGCTCAAGCTTAACAGATAGATCGGGTCCAACTCGTTGGACCCGATCTGGGTCTCCAGTTCGGGTCCAACTGGGTCTCCAGTTCGTTTTTGGATCTTGTCTAAAAGAGGAAGAATATCATTTGAAGAGCTCAAATATGACAAAAGTATTCCATACAGGGGTGATTTAGAGATTTGTAGAAGTAGAGAATGGAATCAGAAGAGAAAAAATTGCAAGCACAAAAAAGAGAAGCAACCTTAGCAGATGCTAATTTATCAATCGATTGTATATATAGTTTCCATGAAAGGTCAGTAGTAAAAGAAAATTCAAGAAGACATAAGGAAGAGGACATAGTAAGAGGATTGTCATTTATTAATATAGGAGAAGCAACAGTACTGCGATTGTTGTTTGCAGTAAATAACTGAGTTTTGCTGAAGTTGAAATTTACAAGCTACTGAGAGCCCCAATCTGTTATAGAAGTGAGATCAGATTCAAGATCAGCAGTCTATTCTAAACGATCTAAACGAGAAGACTTTTTGTCAAGACAGAAGTATAAAGTTGAGTCACCAGCAAAAAGAGCTACAGAGCTAATTTAGTTGTAAGGTTGTTGGGAAGACCATTAATGTAGATAAGAAAAAAAAACAGGACCAATGATAGAACCTAAAGGTACCCCAGAAGTTACTGGAAATAAATTTTGGCTTTCGAGGATGACTTTAATTAAGCAGTTAAAAAGAAACAATTTGATAATCTTAAAAACCTAGAGGCCTAGAACCCAGAGGTATATTGACTTTAAAGTTGAATAAAACTTTTTCCGTGTCCCACAATGCAATGCGATTAGTGGTACTGTAAAAAGGATTAGAAAACAAGAGTATTTGAAATGACCATCAAAAATCCACTGAAAATAAAATATTTTCATAAATAAATAATATAAAACTTTTGTCTTAGATAATGTTTTTATATTAGTGAAAAACTTTAAAATAAAGTAACAAATTACTAATAACTGTTTTTGTTTTAAGTATCAATGAAAGTTCTTAATATTTTTTTCATTTACAATATAAAAGTTATTTAAGTATGCATTTTTTATAATAAAAAATATTTAAAAAAAATTATTTTTTTTTATACCATATGAATGAAAAAGTGAAAAAAAGTTTTTTTTGAAAATGTTTTTAAAAACCTTTATAATTTAACAAATTTGATATTTACTTATGTATTTCATGTTATTGAAATGCTTTTAAATAAAGTAAAAAATCACTGTTAATGGAATTCTTCTAATTTTACGAAGGCTGTGCATTTCTGGCAAAAGAAAAAAGCTATTTTATTTTTCTATTGAAATGAAATGAACTAATTACTTTTTCTTTTATATTACTATAAAGAGTTTCTTAGAATCTTTTTTTTGCTTACTTTATTTATTTATTTTTGCTTACTTTATTTATTTAAGTATTTCAAAGATTTAATTATTATTCAGTTAAAATGCAAATGCAGGCTTGGTCAGGAAGACATGTGATTTCATGTCATAATTTGACAACGCAAATATTGTTTGATTATACTTAACTTGACCTCAACTGTTCAAATGTTTTGAAAATTTGTATACATTTTAAAAACGTGCTAAAAAAATTAAATCAAATCTTAACTTAACAAAAAAGAAATATAAAAAAAATCATCCTTAAAGAAGCAATATAAACTTTTGTAAAATAAATAACAAAAAACAAGATTAAAATAACTTAACTAAAACTAAAATAGCAAAAATAAAATAGCAAAAATAAAAACTTAACTGAATTAAATAATAAACTTTAACGATAAGATTATCTGAATTACGTTTGAAATAAATAACTTTGAATCGTTTATCTTTACTAATGTTTTTATTTAACCCTTTTTGTATAAAGTAACAACTTAATATCAACTGACGATTGTTTAATTAACACGCGCATTTAAAAGTTTAAAAAGATATTCTTAACAATTCTCCGCACAAAAGAAAAAATAATTTATTTATTTATTATTTTTCTGAACATAAAATTATACATAAAATTTGTTAATTGAAAAAAATTTATATTAATTTTATGCAAAAAGGAATTTATCAGATTCCCTTAAACTGATTTAATTTAGACCTGATTTAGAAATTGAACTGATTTTAGACTAGACCTAATTTAGAAATTAATAGTATGTCGATGTTACTGACCACATGAATTATACCCAGACCATCTTACAAAACCAATAACATGCATACAATTAGTTAATGCCTATTCCACATTTTATGTTATTCCACATTTTAACAACTTTATGTTATTCCACATTTTATGTTATTCCACATTATAACAACTCTATGTGTAAAGAAATTTTGTCGCTGTAGAATTCCAAGCGCTAAAGTACGTATAAATCTTTCTCTATAGCCCCGGGTGTGACCCGCTGGACCTTTGATTCTAAGTGAGCAAGTTGGTAGTGGTTCATTTTGCCAAGTGATGAGATCAAAACCACGAATAAACTTAAAGTATTGAATAAGATCAGTTCTTGTTCTT